CCCCCCCCCCCCCGCGCGCGGGCGTCTCGCTCGCTTGTAGCTGGAATCAGCAAAGGCATACGCGGCAAGGATCAAGGCCGAGTCGGGCGACATGCGTGCCGTATTTGGTGCGATCGATGATTCCGTCACCGCCGCCGGTCTTGAGCTCATTACCCACGACGCCAGCGGAGAACCTCTCAGCGCTACCCAGGTGCGCTGCCCCTTGACGAATGCTGCACACGTCCACCGCTACTACTGCCACGGATGCCTCTGGTTCGTTGTTGTCGCTTCGTGCACACACGGCGGTATGTAGTCATGCATGGGCTGGTGCTACGGGAACCATCGCCCGTGGCCTGTTACGTGGGTCAGTTGGTATTTGCTCGTCGTCGTGGCAATGAAGACCCCCGCAAAAGGAGATGATTGCGCTGAGGAGTGACCGTAATCCAGGTCAAACGCGCACCATCGGGACACGGGGGGTGTTGCAGATACGAGCAACGGGGATCGGGACGATAGACATACTTCCGCCGTCTCAAAGAGCCTGGTGCTCGATGGTTTCCAAAGACAATAAAAGGGATTGAAACCTTACCGGACATCCGCTTCGTGAGTTCCATTTGTTCCTGATACACGCATCCCTGCATCCGCTTGCGAGAAAGCTGGTGATCTCCGCCCACACAGCCCGAGACTGCGAGCAAGATTCTCGCCCGTGCGTACGTGTAGACGGAGAAGAAAGCGTGTTCTGACCCCCCTGCCTCGACCGACCGTAGGCGGCGTTCGGCATGATCAAGAAGCTGCGGGAGACCTGCATCAGCCAGCAAGATCACATCGGAAGGTGGGAGAGGGGAAAAGAGAGGCGGAACGGGGGGGGGTCGGTGTTAGGGTTGCGCTGGGGTAAGCAATACGGCTCGTGGTAGCGGTGAGGCTAGACGGGAAGGAGAGGTCAGGCACTACATCTATGAATTGCAGATTGGCGACCTCCCTCCGCAGCCAAAGAAACCCCGTTTCAATTTCTAACCAACCCCCGAACGCAAACACGAACGCGTAGGCTCGAGTTCTTCGTGAAGAGGGGGAAGCTCGACCTCGAGCAGGCGGAGATGACGATCAAGGACATGGGGCGAGACAGTAGCTCGAAGCGCGCTCGCAAGAAGGCCGCCGCCACCGCCGCCGCCAAGAGCAAGAGCAAGAGGGGCGCCTACGGCTCCAGCGCAAGCAGCGGCGGCAGCGGCGGCGGCAGGGCCGGAGGGCGGCCGCCATCCCCGACGCACGGCAACAAGGCCTCGGCGGCGTCGATCGCCGTTTCCACCGCCATGTTCATGGCTTCCTCGCATTCAGCAGCGAGAGTCCCGAGCGGCGATACGTACAGCGGCACCCGGGCCGGCAGCCCCTCGTCCTCGTCGTACAACACTCCCACAAACGATGACGACGCCGCAACCGTCACGTCCACCGACGCCGGGCAGAGCATCACCACCAGCAGCACCACCGCCACCGCCGCCGATTCTTCTCGGGCAGGGATGCAAGCATCTATGAGGACGCCGAGGGCCGGGGCGGGAGCGGATCGAGACGGCACGGCCGTCTCCGTTTCGGCATGCACCGCCGTAGATTCCTACAGCAACAACAACGCCACCGACCGCGTCGGAGGGAGAGGAAGGAGAGGAGGGCGGCGGGCGACGAACACCGAAACCGCCATCGGCGGGAGCGACGGCAGTGTTCCCAACTTGGGGAGGCGACGCAGGACGCAAGCAGCCGTAGCGGCGGGCGAGGGAGCGGGCGGAGGGAGCGGCAGCGGGGGCGGCGGCGGCGGTGCAACGTCGCGAGGTGAGCGGCACCGCGGCAGCGTGTCGCCGTCATCGGCAGCGAAAGGTCCCCTCGGGTACTCACGGGGCGGCAGCGTCTCGTCTCCGCCGACGGGAAGATCGAGGCGCGCGGGCGGCGAAAGCGGCGAGGCCAGACAACAATCGCCGCCGCCGCTGAGAGAAGAGGAGAGCGGCACTGGAGAAGGCGAAGAGAATGAGAAGCAGCAATCGGAGCCGCCAGCATGGGACGACGCGGGGGCTACGAAGACACCGGAGGAGGTAAAGGTGGAGGAAGAAGAGGGAGAAGAGGAGGTAGGCGAGACACAACGGACGAGCGGGATCCAGCAACCGACGGGTGAGGAGTCACCAGGAAACGAACATGCGTCAGCGGTGGCGACGAAGGAGGCAGGAGTTGCTTTGCCAGCCGTAGTTTCGGCACGGGAAGATCGCACGACGAAACAGCAGCAGCAGCAGCAGCTGGTGGAGTCGTCTCCTGGGGGGCAAGGCGGCGCCAGCGCTGCAGAGGAGAAGGACCGCGGCGGGAACGGTGAGGAGGGGGAGGATGAGGCACCAAGGGAAGGGAAAGGGTGTGACGCCGCTGGGGGCGTTGCCGGGGCGTCACTGATAATGACGGCGGTAATGTCACCCGAGGCGTTGGGAGAGGGGGAGCAGGAGCAGGAAGATCAACGAGCAGAACACGACAGCAGTTCCTCGCCCGCGTCCGACGCAGACATCCGCGGCGGATCTCTCGGAGAAGGCGCTGCCGGCATGGTTGCCCCGACCGTAGAGAGGGCCAACCGACGCGCGTTGGAGGCCATGAGGGTGCTCGAAGACGCGATGAAGAACAGGCTCGGCGCCCTGCCCGGCCTGGACCCTGCCGCCAGAGAGCACCTCTCGACGGCCCTCCGGGAACAGGCAAGAGACGGCTTCCGCGGTGGAGGTAGTGAGTGCGTGAGCGCATCCAGCTCATGACAGCTGCGTGAGCGCACCCAGTTGATGACTGCAATAAGTTATCAAATCCTTGGGCCCAATACCGACATAGAAGCATGTTTCTTTACTCCGCCCGTTGCTCACAGGTGTTGTTGTTGAAGGATACCATCGGGAGGGATGTGCGGGAAGTCGCGGAGGAGGCGTCGGCCACCGCCGAGACGGAGAGCATGAGGATGATGACCGAGCTCGCGAAGCGAGACGCAAGAATCACGCAGCTGGGGTCGCGCATTGAAGACTTGCAGGTGCAAGGTGTACCCGTTTGCGGTGGCTAAGTAAGGTTAGCCTACTGTAAGACTAACACTCAAACCCTCGCTTCTACAACAGGGCCATGGAACGCATCGAATTGACCGGGGAGTTTTCTGAGAATTTGCCTGCAACCGCATGTTTTCCCAGACGCGCTCAACTCGACCAGCATAACTCTCTCAACCGTCTAAGGTGTGCTTATCGATAAAAGGCACTGTACTACTGTTGCTTGCACTGTTCTCGACGGCACCAAATTCCCGTCCGATGACGTTCATGAACTTGAGCGCGTTTAGGCTGCGAAAGATGCACGCTTTAGAAAAACGGACTGATCCCACCTCCAGAGGAGACGGGAGTGGGCGGGAAGCCTACCAAGAACCTCTGTTCTTCTCCTTTTGTCTCCCACCTCCCTCTCCAGAATCACCTCCGATTCTAAACACTATTAGCTTGCGGGGTACCTACTCACTCGTCTCCTTCTTGCCACTAACTTCCGTTCTTCGTACATGCGCTGAATAAAAGATGATATGTATCTGCGCATGATGTCTCCTGACAAAACAACAGCAGCGGCTTGCGAACATCAACGATGCTGCCGCTAGAATGTCCGCGCATGATGTCGTTCAACTAACCAAAAGACGCGGCTGGTGAACATCAACGATAATCACGTTAGAGAACGTCTGCGCATGCTGTCGTTCAACAAACCAACAGACCCGGCTGGTGAACATCAACGATGCTCACGAGGCCGGGCTCGAGGGTCTCAACGAAGAAGCAGCCGCTGAAGCGAGGAGCGCGAGGCCAGGACGCCGAGAAGAAAGTGAGAGCAGCCCTACTGTCCAACAACCGCCCCTAAACGCGCAGCAACAACAACAAGAGCAGCACCAGCACCAGCACCAGCAGCTTTTCTTCGACTCGGAACTAGAACTAGAACCTCGTGGTATTGCCGATGACACAACGACCGAACTAGACGAGGAACAGAAGCATCACCACTACCAGCATGGCGATGGCAGGGAGGGATCGGCAAGGCGACAAGGGTGGGAGGGACGATATCGTCCCGAGCGTGATGCGCTTCATAATAACCAACACGGTGGCGTAACCTCCCGCGACGAGCACCGGCACCACCAGCAGGTAGCAGGTAGCGGCGCCGCCAGGCGGAGAGACGGCGGGCCGGAGGGGGGCATTCCCACCGCTCAATTTGGCGGCGGCAACGTCGGTGGCGTCATTGGCGACGTCCAATCGCCGCCGCCAACGAGAACGCCGGTAGACAGCGGCCACGGAAAAGATGCCCACTGGGAAGGGTCCACGGGCATCGGCCTCTTGCGAAGGGGGAAGAGCGCGGGCACATTCTTGGCACAGCAGCAGCAACATTCCGTGTCCAGTCCAGAACGGGGCGGCGGCGGCGGCGGAGACGGAGGGGATGTGGGGAAGCGGCATTCCCGCGACGACGACGACCCAGATTCCCCTACGCGAAAAACTACCAGGGGTCTTTTCCGCTACCCTTCTGGAAGGGTGACCGAAAGCGGGGGGGGTCACTTTGGCGACAACAGGAGTAGCAACAACTTGCCTGGCTTAGGGGGCCGAGTCGAGGAAGACCAGCAGACGGTGTCGGTCTTAACGGCGGATACGTCTTTTACGCAGAGTTCGAACATCGGGGTGACAACTCGGCCGCTCGGTCAGCAGCAGCGGGACCCGCGGAAAGGAGGAAGAGGAGGAGGGAGGGGACAACCTCAGGGTCACCGGAGAGGCGTTGACGACCGCGAAAGTCCGCAACGACAGGAGAACGAACAAACTGGCGGCATCGGTGTGAAAGGCGGTGATTGTGTGGTTTCGGGGTGCGAGGGAGGGCGTCACGCTTCGCCCCCGGCTTCCGGCGGTAACGTCAGCGAGCAGCGTCAGCGGTATCAGCAGCAGAAAGGGCAGCAGCAGCATCGGCAACATGGTGGTGCTGGCGGGTCTCCCGACCACCTCGGGGAATACGGCGGCGGCGGCGGCAGTCTGGCACCAGCAGCGTCGGTAAAGGACATGCAAGGCCGTGCCAGGATTCAACACATGCCCAAGACCGTGGGCGACGTTGTGCTCGCCGGTGCCGGCGGCGGCGTCGACGAAAGCCCGGAGATGGCCGTGATAGGCGCCGTCGCGGGGAAACCCGCCGTCGCCGAGCGAGGCCCTTTGGGGAAGGAGGCCAAGCACGGCGGTGACGAGAAGGGAGCTGACGGGGTGCGAAAAGAGCCAGAAGGAGCGGAGGGTGGGGGAACAGGCGAAGCTGGTGCTGGAGATGAGACGGACGGGGAGGAGGACAGAAAGCGCCAGAGGCAACAGAGAGCGCTGCAGGCGTTCCTCAAGGGGGTGAGTGAGCGCGTGAGTCTTTGGCAAATGTGGTAGGTATTTCCTGGCCAGTGCTGAGTGGAAAACGTACCTTACAGGCTATGAGAAGAGTTCCTGAGGGCTGCAAACATGGATCGATGAGCTCAACGGGGAGCGGGAGAGGCATTCTGGCATGTTTGCCCCTGACGATGTCAACGCCCAGGGCTGCCCAAAAGTCAGTCATGATGCTGTACATTGTCCAAGAGGGCTACCAACATCCCGTTTCGTATCTTCCCTTCTCTTCTTGAATAAGCCGTATGCACAGGACTCTGTACGAACGCCTCCTCGCCCTTTCAAGCCACTTCACCCAAGAACGCCCGGCGTTTCGTGCACCATTTTGGTCAATCCACCCACACTTTCATTGTGTCTGCCCGTCGAGATAGATACCACGGTCAACGGAAAGTACGCCACATTCAGTAAACGCACGCCTGGAACAAGTTTTGGACGCCAGCGCAACAATACTTTGGCGTTGATCGCACACGTTTTTTTCGTTTCTCTCGAAGGCGGATGACACACAAGCCAACCTAGCGTTTGTGGCGTTGAGGCAAGAGCCGTACATCGTTGAGGAGTTCGGCTACCTCGCCAAGCAGATACGAGACCTCCATGAGGTGAGAACGGTTCGAATTGTGTGGCTTGTGGGGATCAAGTTGGGATCCGCCTATTACGGGGGGTTTGCTGAGTTGGGCGCGCGCAAATACGGTGAAGTACAAGCGTGGCGGAGCATGCGTCCGATGGTCGTCGTGGGGGTGATTCAACGGGAGCCAAGACATTGTGAGGCGATGTGCGACGTACTATACGAGACAAGTGTTCGTGGTCTCCATCGCCGAGATGTGGCCCCTTCCGTGGCACACAACGGCAAAATGCTACCGAATATAGTCTACGCATCAAGGCAGAAGACATATCGATGACGCCGCCCGGGGTCGTGTACGTCGTCACTGTTATCGCAGCAGAACAACGTTTTTTTCTAAGCAGTGCCCTAGGCGCTTTGCAGTCATGTCATCAATGAGGAAACGATGTATATCTTTGATTGGGGGGAAAATGCATGGTCGAGCGAGCAAGGGGACAGGGCGAGGAAGAATTGTCACATGAAACAAACGAGAGCGAACACAGAGCGCTCGCACTCAAAGCCGGCCGTGTCTCTTTAAGGGGTAACGTTACCCCGTACTTGGTGCATTTTGCAGTATCCTTCGATCACATGGCTAAAGCGTGCAAGTGTTTCCGGACTTCCTCCTTCACACAGCTTGAATCACACCCGCAACACGGTTTCACCCCTCTGCCCGCCCAAACTACGTGAACCCGAAAGGGCACTAAGACTTCTGTTTTCCCGCAACGGTCATTCACGACCGATACCACACACTCTGCTCCAAACTCGCGGGCTCGCTGCGTAACACCCGCATCCATCCGTCGGTGTTGGCAACTCGCAGGCTACGAATGGTGCTGTTCCGCGGCATATATCCCACGGGGAGCTTCGTGACCGGTTCAGGGAGCTAAGCGCTCGCAGCGCTCCGCTCCTGAGGCGGCTTCGGGTAAGTAGTGGATATGCTCGTGTGTAGTCCAGACACGAGTCTGAAGTGAAGCAATGGGTAGCACCGGTCGTCAAATTCACCCTGTTGTCGCGTCTACGCTGCTCTTGTAAGCAGAGTGTTTCCCGCAGAAACAGCAGGAACGTCTGTTCGTGTGCCAGGCACACGAACTTGGTTTAACGATGGCTGTCCAAGAAAGCACTTTCACACATCTTTCTGCGTTTCATCCTCTCCCTCGCTCCCATTTTCTTGTCCGAGATTTTGTGGTACGTTATATCCAAGCTCTAGCTTACGCACCCTCTCGTACGCACTCCTTCGCTCCTACTCTCAGTCTCGCTGCTCCGCCCCTACCGCGCGCGTGTGCCGTGCTCTCTACTGCTCTCCCTACGCCAATACCCGTTGTCCACCAATACCAGGCGCGCTATCGACGGCTCCACACCCGATGGGCGTCCACGCTTTTGCAGTCGTTGTCGACCAGGGGCCTTAAGGCCGGAGACGCCGACATTTCACTGACGTGTTCTCTTTGTGGGTTCGACTGGAGGAACGCACAACCCAGGTACGCGAAGTGCGCTCTGGTGGGTGGGAATAAGGATGTCCAGGCCTTGAACACGATCTTCCGAGTGGAAAATTTCACGGGGCTGTACTGCTCGGTGAAGTCATGACAAGCCGTTTTCAGCTTCACTTGAACCTGACCTCTTGTTCAAGAACTCGCACAAGACGAATGGGCAATAACCTACCCAGGACCCAAACTGCGTAGTACCCCCTGCCCAAGTCCCCAGCCCGAACAATAATGCTCTTCCTTCGCCATCCACATGTACTTGGTTGAACGCATCATCCAGGGGGTATCATCGCAGGCCCACGTTCCACGGAATGAAGCGCGGAAAGACCCCCGGGCGTGTGAGAGGATCGACGCCGTGCAGCTACGAACAGGATCGGCGGACTCGCCCGGAGCAAAACGATGGAGGCGGACCTTTATCGAAGAGGGACATCGCCCAGAGACAAGTATTCGTGGCGCCGTCAGTCGGGGGCGTGGTGGTTGTACCTGGCGTGTTGGAAGATTGGAAGGTGAGCATAACTTATTCGTTGTTGTTGTGGCTGTCTCGTCGATGACGATGTTGTTGCTGCTCTTGTTGGTCATTATCACGAGCTGCTGCTGTTTTTATTCGTTGGGGGGGTGGTGTTGCCTGGATTGCACCCATCCGCGTTTTCGTGTCCAACCCCCTTGCTCCGACATGCCGTAATGAAAATCCTGTGTGGATAGAGCCCGACCCGCGTCCGAAATGGTCGACGGGTACAAGCGGCGAACACCCACGAACTGAACGACCTCCAAGTGCGGCGATTTTTCGAGCGCCGAAAACGCACCGTAGGTAGGAAGATGTGTGGTCATTGCGTGCGAATACACCGCACCACAACCCACCTTCCCATACAGCCCAGGTTCCAGGACGCCCTTACCGCGGCTCGAGGGCCGACCAAGGTCGCGCACATGATCTTCACCCCTGCCCTGCTTCACACCTGCTGCCTCTCCCCTTCTGCGCGCTCGCCATGTCGTTCCCAAACGTCGTCTCGCCTCACTCGCACCTCCCTGTCTTCCTTGGGCGACTCCGTGGCGGTTGCGCCCCGGTCTCAACGAACGAACGGAACCACATTTGGTCGTAGGCCGAGGGCGGATCGGGCCTGCAAGTTGCTAGCGGTGGCCAAGGGGAATCAGCGAACACGAGCCTTCTTTCGGAACAGGCATTGTTGTTACACTCGCTTTCGGCCCCAACCATGAGCGGTGTCGGCACAGCAGAGCTTTTCGGTGGAGAAGGTAGAGCTGCTGGTGTCTTTGGTGGTAGCGGGGGTGAAGATGGCGGAGGTGAGGAGTCCAGCACCGGTCCCCGTCCACTGTTGTCGAAAGCGGGGGGAAGAGCAGCGGACGGGCAAACCGGGGGCAACTCGGTGGTTAAGGAAAGCGGAGACACTATCCTCCCGCCCCTACTTCTCTCCTCGTAGTCTCAATCGGCGTGTGTGTGCGAGTTCTCCGCGTCCGAAACGAGACCAAACACTGGCCTCCCGGTCGGTCGGTGTAATGATTTTACTACAGTGTTGTCTCTGTTGATCTGGTTGCGTCCTCCAAATCGGTATCGCATGTAGTGTACATTCAATAGCCCCCCCCCCACGGCGCTTCGTGCTTGGCGAGGTGATAAGCTGATCCGGTGAAAAAAATGCATGCTCCGGCCCGGCTTTATAGGGTTGCGAGATCAACGGTCTAGCCAAACGACTACGGTCTGCGGCATGCACAGCTATGAGTACCCCCCCCCCCTCACAGTACTAGTCCCTCTCGGGTTACATAACTTGAGATTATTGAGAGTGCAAGAAGACAAGAGTACACCTGAGATTACTTGGAATACTGAAGCAAGTACTGTAAGTGGGATGACATGCAGACAACCGACGTGTATCGATGGCGCCCACACGTAAGAACCTCTAGTTTCGGCCGAGGCTGGGGTTCTTGTTTTGCTGATCATCCTCTTGTGGGCTAAAAATGGCCGCAATATAGGTTTTGTTCAGAGTGGGTATGGATGTCCTCTACTCTGGGTGAGCGAAGAGTCCGGGTTTGTGGTGGCTATGTCCTGCCACCGGAGGTTGGCTATTTCCTTTGGTGCAATGTGGCGAGGAATGCCAAGCGTGACCGAGCGAACTCAGTCAAGCTAGGGTGGTACGGAGAGTGGGCGANTGAGCGGAGAGTCCGGGGTTGTGGTGGCTATGTCCTGCCACCGGAGGTTGGCTCTTTCCTTTGGTGCAATGTGGCGAGGAATGCCAAGCGTGACCGAGCGAACTCAGTCAAGCTAGGGTGGTACGGAGAGTGGGCGAGCCTTCGTGGACTTTTTTTCCCATTATCCTAAAGATCCATCAACTCTTCGCAGCCGTTGGGGGTCATAAGAGTTGGGGACCCTCGGCGAACAGCNAACTCAGTCAAGCTAGGGTGGTACGGAGAGTGGGCGAGCCTTCGTGGACTTTTTTTCCCATTATCCTAAAGATCCATCAACTCTTCGCAGCCGTTGGGGGTCATAAGAGTTGGGGACCCTCGGCGAACAGCAATCAATTATCACTTATTCCCTCAGATCCTACTCTTTATGTACGTGTATCTGTGCTCCCTGAATCTTCATATCCTGACCTCCACATAGCCCCCCTTTTTCTTCGCCGAAAGCTCAGCTTGTTGAAGTTGGGTTTTGGCGCACATGCATGATTGCATGTTTCTTGTAGTGGAGCAGGTATGGATGTATCATTGGATCCAGATACAGCTCTTCGAAAATAAAATCTCTCCCTCACTATCCGAAGACAGCTGACAGTGCCGTGTGGAATACACACGTGTTGAAAACAACACCGTACGGATTTAATCTCTCCAAGGCTCGTACAAGCTACCGTGTATTGATGTCAATCAATGATGTGTCAAAGCTTTTTCTTTTTAAGTATCAAGAATTAGTACTTTGTGCGGGTTCTGGTTCGCGTAACCATACCGCTGGGTGTAAGCAATCGTGTTGCTTATTGAGTACGATAGGCATACGGTGTTCGACAGTCTTAAGACTGTTTCCGTGACTCATGATTAGTGTCATCGAGTTGCGACCCTCAATTCCACTTAAGACCGATTAACTTGACATTTCCTCGCCAGCATTTGACCCAACCAAATGCTGGATAGCAAACTTACTTATTGTTTGGATGCTATTCCTTTCACCGTTTGGATACTTTGGAAATGTATCTTTTGTTTGCCTTCGGACTCTGTTTACTTTTCCGCTGAGTACTTTTCTTATTCACGCATTTTGCTGGCTTGGGACACAAGGTGTCTGGCCTTGCTTTGTGCTTTGCGCGTTTGTTTGTACTCGGATCCCTACCTTCGTCGCGTTTTCGTTTCGCTTTTTTCTGCGGTACTTCGGACGATTTCTTGGCGGGCGCGATGTCCAGATCATGTTTTGATCGGTATGCGGAAATCATTTCGTGGCATTGCGGCACTTCGTCGGCACGATACATCAGATCTGATTCAGGACCGTATCCTTTCAGTCTTAGACGATATCGATAGTTGTGCGGACCTTTTCGGCCTTGACCGCTTCGATGCCCTACCACTTTCAACACGACGTATCTTTCAATTTTCGGTTGATTTTCGTCGTTTGCTGTCAGGGCAGGTAAGGGAATTTGTTTCCCAAGGAAATATTCCGCCAGTTTTCCAAACTGTGGTGCTGGTGGTTTTTTCCTTTCATGGTACTGTTTTAGATGGGCAAGATGCACGGATATTTCTCGTGTTTCATCGACTCGCTTCACCCTATACACAACTGGCGACAGTTGTGAGCAGATGGTATATGGTCCTCGCCACGGTAAGAACAGCTTCGGATTTGGTCCATCTATATCCTGGTATTGTCGGTAACGAGTACCTGTTGACCAGGTATAAAGACGGGGTACTGCGGTAACTTTTCGTTTTTCGCAGCTTGCTTCTCTGCACGTTCCGTGAGGTTTATTTGCCCTAGTTTGAAAGCAATCTGTAGAATTTCTCGTGTTTTTTTAGCAAAACTCTCGGTATCTGCAGTTGATCCTACATGTGGAATTCCGAGAATTACATCTACCGGTAACCGTGCTTGGCGACCAAACATCAAGAAGTACGGTGTCTCATGCATGGTTTTCTTGAACGACGTATTATACGCTAGTTGAACCATTGGCAAGAGATCCGCCCAGTTGTCACGATTCATGGAGCTATGCATTGCGAGCATGGAATGCATCGTTGAATGCACACGCTCAGAGACCGAATTACCTTGCGGACGGCGTCGTGCGTGTTTTCTTGTAGCCCAAGATTGCTTGCAACTGATAGATTATCTTGTTTTCGAATTCAGTGCCTTGATCAGAGTGCAGCATTTCAGGCGAGCCAAAGATACTGATAATCCGATCAATGATTACACGTGCTACCGTTCCAGCAGTTTTGTTTGGAACTGGTGTGAGAATTGCATAACGCGTCAGGTGGTCCATCATGGAAAGTATTTGCATCTCACTCTGACTGCTGACATTGAGAGTGATTTGTGCTCGACTGGGTCGACTGATACTCTTTCAAACGGCCGCTGTACAGGTACGTGACCCGTCGGCAGTTTCGGACGGCGGTGAGGTGTCTTTCTCCGTTGACAGGCCTGGCATTCTAGGCACCAAGTCCGGATGTCACGGTTCATTGACTGCCACCAATATTTTTGTCGTATTTTTTCGTACGTTAGACGAAATGCGAGGTGTCCACCTGAAAGAGCGTGATCATGGTATGCGTGCATCACTAAACCGGTGAGGTCATGTGGGACTACAAGTTGATCACTGAAAGTGCTTCGTTTTCGTAGGTATCCTGGCAGATACGACTTATTCTAAACAGTAAACCGTCTTGTATGGAATAGTACGACACTGATATTGCCGTTTCGTTGTCTGGTAGCGGTGCTTTGGCGTCTAAAATGTATTGGACATATTCGCCGTATTCTTCGGCTTGTTTCTCGCGCAATTTCTCATGCTTAACAGATTCAAATACTTCCGTGGCGCTGACGAAATTTGAATTGACTGTGAATGATTCCCTATCACTAAGGACTGGTTGCACCTCATCCAATTTGTCAGTCGAGACTTGGTATGGTCTGTTTGGCATGTGTTGTTGCAGCTTTGGATCGTCCGGTACATTTCGGCAAATCGGTGCAAGGTTCGGCGCAGTTCGTTCTTGTTCATTATCGAACACGAAAAGTCGCGATAACGTATCCGGCACTACATGCAACTTTCCCCGTTTGTGTTTTACCGTGAAATCGAAGGATTGCAGTGTTATTGCCCATCTAGTGAGTATATTTGACGTGTCTCGCATCGTATAAAAGATGTCGCAATGCCGCATGATCAGTTACGCACGTAAAATGTCTAGTCTACCCCATAAATATGGACGCCAGTCAGTGTTGAATTGCCAATCTGTCACACAACTTGCGGTTTCTATAAACTGCTCATGAGACGCTCATGGGATGCTCATGAGATGCTCATGAGATGCTCATGAGCGGTTCGATGGGTCGTCTCACGAGCTGTCCTATGGGCGTCTCGTGGGATGGCCCATGAGATGGCCCACGAGACAGCCCATCGAACTGCCCATGAGCATCCATGAGATGGCCCATGAGACAGCACATCGAACTGCCCATGAGCATGTCACGAGCCGATCGGCCGTCGTCGAGGCTGCCCATGAAGGAGAGGCAGAGCGTCCCATGAGTAGCAGCGACATTGCTATGCAAATGTCTTGCAAGAAGAAAGTGAATGGCGCAAAAAAAAATTAACGTACATTTTATCATCCGTGCGAAAGGATCTTTACTTCTAAATTTGCTGTCTCCTCATTGGTTGGAGATGCACGTGCGCGCGCTCCCTCGGTGAACCTCTTTTTGGTTCTGTTCACAAAGCTTTCCTGGGGTGGGGAAACCCTGGCGCTGTGCCCGCTGAGATTTCTCCGCACGCCGCGCACGAGGTGCGCGTTCTGTGAACGACAGACGGGGCGACCGTGCTACCTTATCGACACGTAGCCTCTAGAGGGAAGCATTACATAGCGTGGCTCCCACCGTTCGCCACCACAGCAGCGGTCAGTCGTTGATGCGAGGAGGTGAGCGGCATGCTGCCAAGCACGCGCTCTGCTGGCGGCGNGCAAGGAGGTGAGCGGCATGCTGCCGAGCACGCGCTCTGCTGGCGGCGTGCGTCATGATGCTGATCATGATGCAGGCGCGGATGACTGCGTGTATGGTGCGGCTGGTCGCCAGCACAAGCCGGTGTCGCACCCCTTGCCCGCAGCCCCATGCGCGAACACTCGAGAGGATTTCAACTCCTTGCAGCAAAACCACGCGTCGGGTATCCGTCCTTCTCGAGAACGGACAGCGACCTCCTCCGGCAGCGAGCCGTTGGGCAATTCCCATCTGTCGGCCGGCGGCGCCCCTGGCGGTGCAGCCTCCGTCGTGAACACCTTTCCTTGCAACACACGNGCGGATGACTGCGTGTATGGTGCGGCTGGTCGCCAGCACAAGCCGGTGTCGCACCCCTTGCCCGCAGCCCCATGCGCGAACACTCGAGAGGATTTCAACTCCTTGCAGCAAAACCACGCGTCGGGTATCCGTCCTTCTCGAGAACGGACAGCGACCTCCTCCGGCAGCGAGCCGTTGGGCAATTCCCATCTGTCGGCCGGCGGCGCCCCTGGCGGTGCAGCCTCCGTCGTGAACACCTTTCCTTGCAACACACGTGCGGCTATCGGAGCGACTCGCAGAAGTGTGAATGAACGTGAATCACCACCAGCGAAACGTCATGCGTCGCAAAGCCCATCATCCCGGGGGAGCTTGGGACGAGATGCAAGAAATTCATGCGAGGGCTTCGGCGCCGGTGAACGTCGCGGCCGGGTGCCGCACTCGTTCCTTGCTACAGCTGTGCAGATGTCCCAAGCATCGGAGGCCTTGGGGACGCTAGAGGAGCTATCAGGTGATGGTTTCGAATTCGCGGAACCACATACGCCCCTTTCGTCTGCCATTGGGGTGCCTACGGGACCGGGATACTGCTCTACCGGTACGTACGGGCAGAGTGCACCACTGCTACGTTCGGAGGTAGAGGAAGGAGCGCAGCTAAACTATGAAGGCACATGCCAACTTGGAGCAATGTTGCCACCACGGAAGCGCCCAGCCTACGCAGTACCGTGGCGACCGCAGAAGCATCAGCAGCAGCAGCAGCAGCAGCAGCAGCAGCAGCAGCAGCAACAGCAGCAGCAACAGCAGCAACCTCAACAGCAGCAACAGCAGCAACCGCAACAGCAGCAGCAGCAGCAGCAGCAGCAGCTGTCAGCCGCGAGTTGCTTTGGAGGGGGATGGCGGCCGCCGCCGCCGCCGCCGCCACGGCTATTGATGGCGCAGCAGGGTGCAGCTGGCGGGGCGGTGTTACAGCCGCAGCAGGTTGGACGGGTACGTCAGCCACTCCCGCCGCTGCCGTTGCCTGTGCAGCAGAGGACGGCAGGTGGCATCGTCCGTGACGCCCTAACCGGCCATAGTTTACCTCTGTTTTTGCAGCATGGTGCACCGTATGGCTCAGGGACAGGCGGTCATGAGGAGGAAGACGAGGGGGAGGAGGGGGAGGCAAAGGATGCCTCCAGCGGAAAGCCCGTCCCTGTCATCGTGCCTGCTGATGCTACGTTGGCGAAGCGCAGCTGGTGCTGTTCGAAAACCAAGACAGTTACTTCGATTTGTCGTGGGTGTCTCAAACGATGGCATCGCCACGTCGACCATGGGATGATCGACCTCAACAACGATCGCTTCACTTGCTGCTTCTGCGATACCAAGGCGAAATCGGCATGTCGGTGTCACGCGTGAGTACCCAATTTCGTTTTCCGCTGTTCAGAGTCTTTGTTCATTAGCAATTCTGTGTTATGATGTGACCAAGAGTAATGTGCCAGATCGAGTTCTCGGATGCTTCTCGCGCACGTGGGTTTCACCCGTTTCGATACCAACCACCCATGTGGTTTTTACGAGAGGAATATGCAACAATATCTCGACTTCCACAGCGCTCTCGCAGTCTGGTAGGTTGTCACATGTTTCCACCTAGCTGCTCCGGGACTGTTGCTGGTGATCTATATCGACTCCAACTTTTCTGGTTGCTTGACCATCGGTGTTTGTTAGGGCTTCACCCTCTCGCCGTGCGACCAAGACCGAAGTGTCCACAATACGACCTGCTCTTGGGGTGTGCACTGTAAGTTACTCAATTCCCCCCCTCTACTTTTCCCACCATCACATGCTTCGTACTCGAACAGGTGCAACAAGAAGAAAGCTGATAAGCGAGCGGCATCCCAACGAGCTCAAACCGGCCACATCCACGGGAGTAGCGTCTCCCGAGTGGTTCACCGTCAGACTCGAACCAGCGCTTTCAAGCTCCGTCTGCCTCTCACGGTCGCGGCGGGCAACTCTAGAGATAGAGAGAAGGCACTGTTTTCGGTCTCTACTACCGCCCGCGGCGACCGTGTCATGGTCGTCACCGACGTCACCGCCGAGCAACCTGGTGCGCCTGCAAGCTGCATCGTGAACTGCTGCGATAACCGATGCCACAAGTGAGTCGATGTGTGTAGTTGTTGGGGGATGTCACGAAACAACAGTACGTGTGTGGTGTTTGATACGCTTCCTTCTCACCGGCAAACCTATGATGGAAACTTGACGTCTTTGTTGCAACCCAACGCGTTTATAACTCATTTGGAACAGAAAGGCATTTGCAGGTCACAGATAGGGGCCCGGCCGTTCAGCACTCACGTGTTATTTTTCGATAGTTGCTGCTTCCTAAATTTATCAGAAACTAGTCAGAAATTCATCGGCATGTTTTTTTTTTTCTGACGACGCTCTGTCACTTTCATGGTTGCTTTCGTATGGTTTTGCAGTGTGCAATCGGAACCCGAGCAAGCGCCAAACGCCGAGCAGATTGCAGGGGGCCAATGTTAGCACGCTGACGTCATTCTCGGAGATGGAACCACTCCGAAGGCGGATATTCCTGAAGCAGAGCCGGTTGTCTTTGGCAAAGATGGGGAAGGGATCGAAAGCGTTGGGATGCAGCGATAACCCAGATTGGTTTTGACTCAGGGTTGCTTTGACACCATTCTAAGGATGGCAGCGACTGCAGAGGAGCATGGGGTGCCGCTGTTGATGCGCTTAGGCGAGACTCAGACGTATGTTGTATACCATCCGGGTCATCGGTCTATTCCTGGCAGCTGGGCACACGTCGAGACGGATTTCCCGCAACCACCTGGGGCGAAGAAAGCGCCATCAACGAAAAGGCGGACCACTCTAAGGAAGCAGATCTATTGCAAGGTGATAGTCTACTCCTGCCGATGCGTGACTATTTTTTATTCGGAGCTCTAAAGTATTGACTGTATGTTTTCCCACCCCAACCTTCAAATTCGTTGTGCAAACCACGCCAGCAATATGGGTGCCCGTGCTCGCTTGCTCGGATGGTAAATATCGTGGTATACCTGACCTACATTTTTTTCCGCTGAGGATAGCTGGTCGGAAAGGCAAAGTAGCAGCGAACGATGATACTTTCGGTGCTTTCAAGAGGGTTTGCATCATAGCGCACGTAGCATTGACTGTTTTCACAAACCTGTGTCCCACCAACTGTCCGCCCCCTGGCGCCCGTCACCTGGCTATGATCATAGGCGAATGGGGGGACGGGGTGCACCTCGTCCAAGAAAGGCTCTAGCGGCAAATGTGTGCATACGCACATCGTGGGGTGGGGCGTCATGGGCAGCGATTGTGGAAGCAGCTCCCCCCTCAACTTAGACGGCGGGAGCGACGAAGATTCAGGCGATGAGGGCATCGGTTCAGGGGCGACGGAGTACNGGCCCTGTGTCCGTGTACTACTTGCTAGATTTTTTCTGTTGGGGCATTGTGCCATCCACTACCACATCGCAAAGGCATCTAGGGTACATAGTTGGTCACGCCAGACCGTGAAGAAGGAAAGACAAGAAACGCATGTTGTCGATGTGACTGCTGGTGCACAAAATACCTCCTCGAACATCGTATGTGGTAGGCACATGGAGTCAAGATCATTAAAAATTCTTCAACTAGCGCAGACGGAGTGCACAATAGATGTATACATGGGTCCGCTCGACCTGTTTAAGCTCCTCAGGCAACGTCGGAAGGACTCGCGTCACATGGCAACCGTACAAAAATTGCGTCTGCACACAAAGTTCTTTAAGATACTGCGAACCTCCAAGAAATCGTGAGAGCGCACGTTCATTCCATTCAGTTGGTCATTCTGACTTTGTACCCGCGACGTCATCATGTCAGGGGCCCGATCTCGTCGAGGCCGTGCTTAAGATCAAGGGCTGTGTTGACTGCGGGGTGGAAGCGGTGACCGGTGATGCCTGGCAAGAGCACGGCTATTTCGGTTCGGGGAGACTCTACTCCTCCATCTGTCCCACATGGACGCGACGAGGCGGGCGGTGCTTAGTGGTACGGCAATCAGCCACGCATTCGACAACCTCCTCCGTCCTTTGGCCGACAACCTGATATGGATGACCCGGAACAAGCTGGCCAAGAGGTGATTGTGAAAATCGTCATCATCCACTGTTTGTTGTTCTTTGCCTTCCACTTGTAGCAGCACGGAGCGATCCAATGTGTCACGGGGGGGTGTTAACCTGAGACTGCAAGGGAAACACCCGTCTTCGGGAGCAGCCCTCCGTGATCAAGCTAGGAAATAAATATTAACCCCTTCGAACTCCAGCCCCGAAACCCTTGTTGGCTATCGTAAATCAAACGCACGATCTTCGAACCGAATGCAGCAATTAGTGCAGGTGTGGCAATGCCAAGGCGGTAGGTCGTAGCCACTGTATTTATCCCCCACATTTTGACCTCAAAGTCGAATGTAGGACAACCTAATTCCGGCTTTCCTGGGGGATCAAAGTACGATATTGTTTCAAGGAGTCATTGATCACACTTTTCCCTCAGGGCTGTTGTTATGTAAGTCGTTCCCAGTACATTTCGTATCCCCCTCCCAGGGGACGTTGGATGAGGATACCGCAAAGCGCTTTTAGTATTCACGGAGGTGCGAGGGTTTTCCAAACCGCTTCGTTTGTTTTCGCGCCCCCGGTCCCACTGCATCTATTCTCATTTTTTTTCCCGCCCCCCCCCTGCGAAGTCAAACCAATGCGCGGAAGGAAAGGACAACGAAGTCTTTGGGCTGGTCTTAGGATAGGGACAAGAAGGGGTGGGGGGAATATAGCTGAAACATGTTGGGTATATTGCGGTAGTATCTCGGCTGGTCTGCATCGTGCAACAAGTAGTTTGACCAGCTGGGTGGGGTGCAATTTCGTTGCAGAGAGGGTTATTGAGCATCGGCAGCACATTGTTTTGGCCTACAGTACTTGCCATTTATATTCACCCGGTACTTGCGTGAAGGCGGCATGTACCTCCGTGCCAAAACATTATGTTGAGGAAGCTGATGTGTACCGGCAACATGCGCTCCGTGGTAGAGCTGGGCTCCGGCGTGTCTCAAGCGATTTTTCTTAAGAATGTCACCCTCGAGGTGGCACGGTCAACCGTCGTGCGATCGTTCTTGAAAGGTGTTCATGTCCCATGTTATCGCAGTACCGAATTAAATACCGGAGTGGAAAATGCAAATAGATCACTTTGTTTTGGTTTTTCGCATCACGGTGCGGACTGGTTCCCTGGGCGTTGGTAATGCGCGGTGCAGCATGGACGTGTTGATACGTAGGGGCGTGACCCCCCAACGCTTGGAATGAAGCTCACTCCCCTTCCGGCATGTTCCTGTTGCTGTCCCCGGCCTACCGCTCTCTCCTGCCAGAGCGCTGACCAACAACTACTTGAAAAAGCTGTTGCTTGACGCGTATCTGGCCTTCGAAGCCCTCACCGACCACCCCTACGGCTTCTTCAGCTTCATCGACGGGTATTTTCCGCTTCTTTCGAGTTTTGACGGCTGCGCCAAGGTGGCGACCAACATCTGCATCGAGAAGTACCTGCAACAGCGCATGCTGCAAGTGATCGACATGAGCCTTGATGCGATCTGGCTCGTCATCAGCATGCTGTCGCCGATGGTGTTCGGAATGCGGCTGCAGTTCTCACAAAACACGCCGGTGACTTTTTGCCCCCAAAACCGCAAGTCCAACATCATCGTGGTACCTGCTCGTGGACATGCCCCGCGTAGCGGAGATGCACAGGCTGCCGATGGCCAAAAACTGATGGAGCGTGTCCGGGAGAACAAGGATGGCCTTGGACTGTCGGAGATGTTGGAGGGCATGTCGCTGGACGGGCTGAAAGACCTCTATCGTTTGTGCTTTGGGCCGCGAGCGCCGGGAAATAGCAGGTATGTTTCACGAGAAGCTACAGCGATTTCTTTTGCCCATATCGTCAATATTCTTGAGGTGGTAGTGCTTATTACAGAATGCATCGCTTAATTTCCGTAGTATTTAGTTTTTTTCCCCGTTTGGTACTCTGCGATGATCATGTTGCGTTTTGTTCGAGAAGAAACAGTGCTTCCGTGAGGCACTACGAGAAACCGTTTCTTGGTTTTTACGCAGGGGTTGTACTTGTCATAGTTCCACCGCACATTTGAAGTTGCTCCATTGAGGGCTGAGAGGTAGCTCGAGACTATTGCAGTAGTTGATTCAACAGGTATCATTATTCATATCGAAAACATCGACAGCTATCCGCACGTTTGTTTTCCGTGTGGGGGAGTAGTCGAGATCGTCGGAAATATGGACGCCCGCCATGTGCGTCCAATTTATGCATTCGGGCCGGGTGTTTCGCTCATCAAGGTAACGTCTGTTGCAAACCTCCAAACTTATCCATCTCACATCTCAAGAAAAGACTCGGGACGCCGAAAGTGCATGTGCACCAATGTGGGAACCTTTCATTTATCGCGCAGTGCGAGACATGCTTCCTTTTTCCACACGAAGTAGGGCGTGTTTGCATACAGCAAAGAGCAATTGCACTGCCATGAGCACCGATCGCTCTCATACAAGATTTTCTGTCGGTCTCTTGTACACTGCCCCCCCTCCACTCCCCCCACCCTCAGGTACCCCAACAGGGTGCTGTTGATTGAGCTGTTCAAGACGGTGGAGAAGCTCTGGCGGGAGAGCAACCATGGAAAGGAGGATTGCTCGTCTGGGGTGGAGGGGGGGTACAGCCCGGACGGAGTCCAGACGTGCCATATGTTCATGCTGCGGGCGGAGAGCCCCACAGACTTGGCCGTGCTCCTGTTGCACCACGTGGTGAGTGCCCCGTTGTAGAGAAACACATTTTTCGTATTCATCACAAGTGCACGTACTTGGCAGTACAGTGTACCCCCGACTCTTGAAAACAATGAAAGTCGAATACATTCAACAGATGATGAGCAGGCTTTGAATAACGAAGGTGTCCACATTTTGCATTGGTATAGATCAAATGTGTCATGCCCAAGCAGTCCGGTCTTTGTTGCAAAACGACAAATGCCGATTTAGGACATCTAGCGGGTTGAAGCAACGTCTAGGCGAAGGGGACAACATGGTTACTTGCGAGGTGTCTGCATGCTGCGATGTTCACGCATTCCCTACCTTCAAACTATCGTAGGGCATCACCAAGCCAACGCGAAAATACTCACGGCTGACTGTTGGTTTGTCCACCAGTAATTGGGCGGGACAAGCCCAAACCGAAATCCGGTTGTATAAAGTAAAAGGTCTGTTTCACGCCTTGTGTTTCTTTTTGTCCTTGCGCATAAGATAAACGATGTACTTGTCGTTGGCCATGTTTTTCGAATATCGTACAACCGAGTAACATTGAAACGGTTTAACTTCAACTAAACTAATCCCTGCTTTCGGGGGCGAGGTTGGGTACTAGACTATCGCCAGTGTGTCCCGGGGTATTTCGTTGTTTTTTGTCTTCACCTTAAAAACCATCCCGGTCTCCGCGCAGTACCGTCTAATATCCGGACTAGTACAACGACGCGGACACCTTCCGTGGTCACAAGCCAACTATACCCCCAAAGGGTACAGTACACCTTTCTAGAACGAAACGAAAGTATAAAATGGGCTAGGAAAGAAATCTCCAATTGCGGAAACAGCGTAGCACAAAAATAACATGTGTCCAACGATACGCCATTTCGAAACATCCTACCACCTGTGCCTACAACAGGTGCGTGCATCAATATCCCAAACACGCACCCCCTTGTTTTTTCTCACAGAGCGGTTGCACCTTTCAGCTCGCACCGTTTTTTTCATCCAATCTTTCGTGTCAAGCTATGCCACGTGCCAAAAGCTCGCGTTTTCCACATAAGCGACCGCTGCCCTCGAAATGCCCCTATGTGATCTATGTGGTCACGAGACCGTGTACATGCACGTGGAACAGGGTCTTTGTGAGAATTTTGGTATACATTAAAGACGTAGAACGTTTCCAGGTTATGATGATCCTCTGTGTTGTAATCACTACTCCAATCGATTGAACTGTTTGCCCCACTCGCGCTTGGAGGCCCGGAGTGC